CTGTAATCACAACACTTTGGTAGGCCAAGGCAGGAAGACTGCTTGAGTCCAGGAGTTCAAGAACAGCCTGAACAGCACATCGAGACCTTGTCTCTTCTAAAAATATTAAGAAATTAGCAGGGCATGGTGGTGCACGCCTGTAGTCCCAGCTACTCGGGAGGCTGAGGCAGGAGAATCGCTTCAGTGCAGGAGAATGGCTTCAACCCAGGAGGCGGAGGCTACGGTGAGCCGAGTTGGTGCCACTGCACTCCAGCCTGGGCAACAGAGACAGGCTCCATCTCAAAAGAAAGGGAAACAAACAAACCCCAAAAACAATGCCTCAGATGACTTCTTCACTCCTCATCCCAACAGTAACGCCTAAAGCTATCCTCTTTTATAATCTTTATTGCCTTTAATTTTGCCTGTGTTTGAATTTTGTATAAACGAGATTACAAAATACATACTCCTTCTATGTGAGTTGACTACTTTGACATTATGACTGAAATTTAATCTAGTTATTGTGTGTATCATTGTTTGTATATTTTTATTATGTCTTTATTATTTCTTCCACTATTTGGGCACACTACGATATGTTTATACGTTGTACTGTTGCTGGACATTTGGGTGGTTTCTAATTTTGACTAACAAAAAAAAATCTTTTATAAACATTTCTGTACATATTTTTTGATGGACATTACATTCATTTCTGATGGAGGTACACCAGGAGCGTAACTTTTCAATGCTAAAATAGATGTATATCTAATTTGATAAGAAACTGTAAAACATTCTTCAGATATAGTTGTATCATTTACAATACCACCATTGTTGTAACAGAGTTTACATTGCTCCATATCCTCCTCAACATGTACCTTTAAAAAGAAAAATAATTTAGTCACTCTGCTGGGTATGAATTGTGGTTAATTTGCATATCCTTGATGCTGAACAATTTGTATGTTTATTGGCTATTTGAAAATCTTTTTCATGAAATGTTCATTCAGTTGCTGAGTCCCTTGCATTTTCTTACTGACTTATAGGAATCTCTTATGTATGACATAAACAACTTCATTGTTGATATATATGTTACAATTTTGTAATATTATCTCCAGCTTACCTTTTCATTTTCTTAGTGATATCATTTAGTAAACAGAAGTTCTTAATTTTTGAAGCCCAGTGTGGTGGTTGATTTTTAGTTACAAATAAACTGCATTAGTGGGTACCCAGATACCTAAGAAAGCATTATTTAGTCTCAGTGATTGTATTAGTTATTCTCAATGCTTCAGTAAGCACTGAACCTGTCCTCCGTCTGCAGAAACGGAAATCCAGGTGGTTTGACACTTGATTGGAATGATTAGGCTGCCCTGGGTGTGTTTGTAAAGGAGTTTATGCGGGAGATTGCCACGAGACTCAGGGGACTGAGTGGGGAATAGCCTCCCTAAATGTGAGCAGGTACCTTCCAAGAAGCTGAGGGTCCAGGTAGAGGAATTCTCAGCTTTCATAATCAGTGAGCCAACTTCCCCTAATAAATCTCTTTTCTCATCTCTCTCTTTCACTATCTCTCACCTCTCTTGTCTATATATATTAAGAGATATATAACATATATATTCTTTTCTGACTGTTCATTGTTAGTGTATAGAAATACAATTTTTATGTGTTAACTTCTGTATCCTGTTAATTTGTATTGAGGTAGCTTCCTTCTATTCCTAGTGTGAAGTCCTTTTATCATGAAAAGATGCTGAATTTTTTTCAAATGCTTTTTCTGTATCAATTGTTTTTCTCCCTTCATCTGTTAATGCAATGTGATATTTTACATTGATTTTTTGTATTAAAACATCTTTATATTCTAAGAATAAATACTCCTTGGTCATAGTATATAATCTTTTTAATGTGCTATTGAATTCAGTTTGCTACTATTTTGTTGAGGATTTTGCAACAATGTTCAGAAGTGACATTGGCCTATAGTTTTCATTTCCTGTAGTTTTTTGGTCCGGCCTTGGTATCAAAGTGACACTGGCCTCATAGAATGAATTAGGAAGTATTCCCTCCTCTTAAATTTTTTGAAAACATTTTGAAGAGAATGGGTACAAAATAATTCTTCTTTCAATGTTAGTAAAATTCACTAATGAAGCCATCATGTCTAGACTTCTCTTTGTTGGGGGATTTTGATCACTAATTCAATCTCCTTACTAGTTATAGATATTTTCATACTTTTATTTCTTCATTATTAAGTATTTCTGGGTCTTGTGCTCCTAGAAATTTGTATATTTCACCTAGGTTATTCATTTTATTGCCATGCAATTATTCATAGTACTCTTTTGTAATCATTTTTGTTTCCTTAGAATTTGTAGTAATAGACTGTTCTCATTTTTATATCTGGTTTTAGTAATTTGAGTCTTCTCTCTGTTTTGTTAATCTAGCTAAAGTGTGCCAATTTTGTTGTCTTTTCAAATATCCAACTTTTGATTTTTTTGAATTTTTCTATTGTTTCAGGTACTCTATTTCAATTATCTCTACTTTTTATTATTTCCTGCTTTCTTCTAGGTTCAGGTGTAGTTTGCTTTATTTTTTCAAGTTCCTTAAGCTGTAAAGCTAAGTTGTTGATTTGAAAACTTTCTGGGTTTTATTTTTTTAATTTAATATTTTTAACTTTTAGATTCATGAAGTACATATGCAGGTTTGGTACACCACCCAAATAGTGAATATAATATCCAATAGGTAGTTTTTTTTTCCTTCCAATGTTTATTTTAGGTTTGAGGGTATATGTGCATCTTTATTACATGGGTAAATTGGGCGTCACAGGGGTTTAGTGGACTGATAATTTTGTCACCCGGTAATGAGTGTAGAATATGATAGGTAGTTTTTTAATCTTTATTGTCCTCTAACCCTTCACCCTTAAGTAAACCCCAGTGTCTATATTTCCCTTCTGTGTGTCCACGTGTACTCAACATTTAGCTCCCACTTATAAGTGAGAATGTGCTGATTTTGGTTTTCTGATCCTACATTAATTCGTTTAGGATAATGGCCTCAAGCTCCATCCATGTTGCTGCAAAGGCCATGAGTTCATTCTTTCTTATGGCTTTGTAGTTTTCAATGTTGTATATGTACCCCATTTTCTTCATTCAGTCCACCGTGGATGGACATCTATGTTGAATCCATGTCTTTGGTATTGTGAATAGCGCTGTGATGAATGTATGTTTGCATGTGCCTTTATGGTAGAATGATTTATATTCTTTTGGGTATGAGATGGTTTGGCTGTGTCCTCAACCAAATCTCATCTTGAATTAGACACTCTATCTAGCTTCCTACATCCCAAAACAAAACTAAAACATTGCTGGATTATACTTGTTAATATTAATAAAGACTCTCGGCACATATACACCATGGAATACTGTGCAGCCATAAAAAACAATAAGGTCGTATCCTTTGTAGGGACGTGGGTGAATCTGGAAACCATCATTCTCAGCAAACTGACACAAGAGCAGAAAATCAAGCACCACATGGTCTTACTCATAGGGGGGTGTTGAACAATGAGAACACATGGACATGGCAGGGAGCATCACACACTGGGGTCTGTTGGGGGGACTAGGGGAGGGTCAGCTAGGGATAGGGAGGTTGGGGAGGAATAACATGGGGAGGAATGCCAGAAATAGGTGACAGGCGGTGGAGGCAGCAAATAACATTGCCATGTATGTACCTATGCAATAATCCTGCATGATCTGCACATGTACCCCAGAACCTAAAGTACAATTTAAAAAAAAAATGCTCTCTCCTTTTCCAAACTTTAGTCAGGCTACATTGAGCATTGTTCTTGAATAGTTCACAATCATGACACAATACCCTGCTCTCTTGACTTATCTAGCCAGGTTTCAGTGAAAAATCCTGTTAAGTCAGTTTGGTAAGAATCCCTGCAAACTTGAAATCAAATTTGTTTCTTTACTACCAACTTTTGATATCTAAGTTCTTGGCCAGCCTTTAACAAGAATTCTGCTAAGCTAACCAGTGATCTCTGACTGCTGCTCAGATGAAACAAGAGGGATAGATAAGGTAAAAATCTGAATTGATATTCTAATTCTGGGCACATATTGGAACTGGCTAGTAATCCCATATTAGCTAGTTTCCAACAGTTGCCCAGTTCATGGAAAGCCTTCTAATTTAGTTTACTTGGGATAATTTTACTTATTTTGCTTTACTCTTATGGAATATATTGCTGTTGTGCTCTTAGTGTAGGAATGCAGGATAAATTTATTCAATATTTTCTTCAATTAAACACTTTAATTAATCTTCCAGCTATCACCTTTTGCCAGAACTTGGAGTTAGGAATGGCCCTGACTGCGATCCTCTCTATGGAGCTCCTGAATACAGGAGACCCTCATAATTAGGCAAGAATATCATCACCCCTATTCAGCCTGAAGAAATGACAGAAGATAGATCTTCATCTGTCTGCAACCCTTAGGATTAAGTATTCTCTTATAAAAGGAAGGGGGGAAATGTCAAAGGCATTTGAACCAGAGCAACTTCATCTGAAATAGGAGCACATTTTCAAAGAAGTGTCTTCATGTGCTGTCAGATATATAGTGCAGTATAAAATGCATTCTTATCTAGATTAATCGCATGTTATATATCACATATATGTACTTATAAATAGATCTATTATCTCTGTGACTTAGAGATGTGCTCCTATTATTACTCCAAAGTTGTTGTGAGCAGTACTGTTTTCAGAGGGAAAGATAACAAATTAAGCATTTATAAGACAATGTAATTTTCTCAATGTCTTATAGGAGTTTTAAATAAGAGTTTTAAATATCTTAAGGAATTTTAAATAAGAATACAAAGTGGGATATTTTTTAAAAATCCTAAGTTGGAGAAAGAATATTTAAAATCACTAAAGCTTATTTTATGAATTTTTATTATCATTACAGTTTAATTTAATCAATCAACAGAACTTTCCAATTGGCCAAGTTGAATTGCTTTAACATTACAGTGAATCCACTTGTAAGCATATAGAGACAGGGCTAAAGTGGTAACATTCTCATAAGTTTACTTTGTTTCTAAGAAAAGAACATTTCTTATGACTACAGAAACCTGACCAGGCTTCAGATACCGACTCTTCAGTTTTGACATAGCTGACTTCACTTCTTTGTTCCTTAGCGTGTAGATTACAGGGTTTAAAATAGGCGTGAAAATGGTGTAGAATACAGCAAGGACTTTGTCAATTGAGTAACTGCTGAAGGGCCACACGTAGATGAAAATGCATGGTCCAAAGAATAAACTGACCACAGTGATGTGAGCAGTCAACGTGGAGCGGGCCTTTGCCATGCTTGCAGAGGAGCGAGTCCTAACTGTAACAAGTATTACCGTGTAGGAGACAACCAAGAGTAGAAAGGAACTCAGAGAGAGAAAGCCACTGTCGGCAACTATTAGTAGGCTGACAATATAAGTGTCTATGCAGGCTAACTTGGTCACTAGAGGAAGGTCACAGAAAAAACTATCTACCTTATTAGGACCACAGAATGGCAGGTTAACAGTGAACGCCAACTGGCTGGTAGTATGGATGAAGCCCACAAACCAGGAAATGAGGACGAGCACAACACATACACGGCGGCTCATTATTGTCATGTAGTGGAGAGGTTTGCATATGGCAACGTAGCGGTCATAGGCCATGGAAACTAGGAGCACCATTTCACTGCCAGTGAAAAGATGAACAAAGAAAATCTGGGCCAAGCAGGCATCAAAAGAAATAGTCTTACACTCAACCAGAAAGTCTGCAATCATCTTAGGGGTAGCGAAAGAGGCAACACATACATCTATAAATGAGAGGTTTGCAAGCAGAAAGTACATAGGGGTGTGAAGGCGGGAATCTGAGGTCACAGTGAGGATGATGAGAAAGTTGCCCAGCAGAATTGCTAGATAAAGTAGTGAAAATATCAGAAACAAGAAAGGTTGGAGCTCCCTTGAACTAGACAGTCCCAGCAACACAAATTCTGTTACCCGAGAATAATTTGTCTCATTCATTGATTTTGGAAGGGACTTAGTTCCAGTTACCTGAATAGGAGAGAAACAGAGATCAGTTAAAGAGTTGTGCATAGGTTTGATTTTTCCAGTTACGCTTAAACTTTTCAGAATTCCAATTCCTATTTATATTTATGTGTCTGAATTTTCATGAGCTATTACAAATTATGCAGCTAGTACAGCTAAGAATGGAAGGTTAGTTTAAAGAGGAGAGTTGTCAAGGAGATGTCCAACCAACTGGCATATCCAAATACATAAATTTAAGAAATGAAATCAACAATTTAAAAATGAATTTGGGCATGTGAAGTTTTTGTGATACTACAGAAATCCAGTCTAAAAAATCTACAGAGACAAAATCTAAACCAATTTTTCTAAGTAAATGATACAAAAATTTTTTGAACATTTGCCACAGCGGAAGATAATTTCACAAACTTGATGACCAAAAAAAAGTTTGACACAGAAGAGTATACATTGCATTGATCTATTTAAATAAAATTCAAAATGGCAAAACTAAGGTGTAGAAAAACCTCATAGCAGTTATGTGTAAGGAACAGGAAGTGGTCATAGGAGGGGGTTTTGAAGTGCTAGCAATATTCTTTCTTGATATGGTTGATAGTTATAGGGGAGTGTTTATGAAAACTTACTGAAATAAGAATATTTGCTTTTTTTCACTTTTGTATACACAAGTTGCATGTTTATAAAAATTAAAACAAGAGAGAGAGACAGCATTAGATTTGTGTAAGAGAGCTCACAGGAGGAATCATTGCCTTAAATGATTATATCTTATTTCTTCTCTCCAGTTACAAATTATATAAACTAAAATACAAACCCCTGGCAAAACTGAAGTGACCCAATCTTACTGGAACTCTTTTATGATTCAGTTCTTCATGAAGTTCTACTTTATCACGAAATCTAGCACACTGGTTTCCTTCAATTAACCCCTGAAGGTATGAAGTTTCTGTAAACTCAGTCATAGGTGTTACTAACCATGGACATTTAATTGAGCTATGACTGATATTTGATTTGATTTGATGTGGCTTAAAAACTTATGTTATATTATGTACTATAAATAATAATATAACTAATAAGTTATATTACTTATCAGCAAGAAATTCAGACCATGAGGAAAATGATTTTTCTACTCAGTTACTCTATATTCCATGTTATCAGAACTTTCTTTCTTTTATGTTATTTTTATTTGTGGAAGCTATTTTGAACTAAGAAAAGTTTCATAGTAAATAAGAAAAAATAAAATGTGAGTCATAAAGGAGCATTACATTATCTGATTTTGAAGAATCTTTCTCCACATCTTAAGCAGGTCTTGGTAGAAGATGTCTTTTATTTTACCAATTTCTAATCACTTGCAATTTTTGATACTAATGTCTTCTTAGATCATAACTGCAAATTGCTTATTCTCTTCTTGGGCTAGACTGGAGGGTTTATGTATAAGAACAGAGCATGTGATGAATAATTTTAACTCTCAGAAACCAAATTTTAGACTCACCTCTGTATTTCAAATCTCCAATTCTCCAAAAAGAAAAACATATAAATTTTCTCCCTCATTTGTAGGTGATGTGTTTCAAGACCCCCATTGGAAGCGCTATCATACTGAACCCTATACAAGCTATATTTTTTATATATTCATATTTAAGATAAAGTTTAATTTATAAATTAGGCACAGTGAGAGATGAACACTCATAACTAACAATAACATAAAAAAATTATAACAATATACTGTAATAGCATTTATGTGAATGTGTTTACTTTTTCCTCTCTCTCTCAAATTAGTTTGATATTTTTGGACCACAGTTGACCTCAGGAAATTGAAACTGCTGAAACAAAACCATGGATAATGGGGGACTCTTGTATTGTCATAGATTATGTCAAAACTATGGCTCAAGGCTTTTTAGAAAAGTTTAAAAAGTGGAGCTTGAAGGTAAAGCAGGCTATAGAAAAAATCATACAATACAACAAGTTTGTCTTTGAGCAGCCACCACAATTTCTTCAGTGCCTTTCTCTCTTCCTTCTCACTTCCCAGGAGCCCTGACCTTTCAGTCTTGTGACATAAATACTGCACTGAATCGCTAAGGCAGGAATGGAAATAAAATCTAACAAAATCAGCAAATAGGGGTTCACAGGTACTCCATCAGAAAAAGCAAAGCCATAAGCACAAGGAATGAGTGTCCTTGGGAGACCTTCCAGTGCTACAGTAGAGCAGGGCATCAGGAGACATTTCTGAGCACAGAAACTTCCTGGTGTCTTTAGGCTAAAACACAAAATCCAATTTTGTGTAAAACAGTCATAAGAATCATCCTCCCACTAACTTTTCAGACTCTCCTGCAGAGCTCTATTGTTCCATTTTCATCGGCTTCCTCAGGTGTTCAGTAAAATAAAAGACCCTGTTTTTCATGTAGAAAAAACATTGGGCAAATTGATTCAATCAAGAACTTTCTTAGTATATAAGATGAAAGTGGTGAAACACGTGAATTCTAAACTCATTTCTTACCTAAATCCATTCTCACTTAATTTAGCTCACTGACTTTATATAAATCTGAATGCCTGCTTTTCCCTGGGCACTGGTGATAAAACAGTTAGGTTTTTAACTTGCCTCCCTAAAAATCATTTACTAATATCAATAACCCTTTGTTTATTTAGACAAGTTGACTAATTTACTTCCTTTTACCCCTAGCACATTTCTGATTAGATAAAATGGGCTGTCTTTTTGTGCCCAATAAAATTGCAGTACTGTAGTGAAAATAAAGCTATTATTTTTAAATGTTCTATGTTTTATCATTGTGTGATGCTGAGCAGTTCCTTAAGCCTTTGAGGGACAATTATCATCAAATATTAAATCTTGAGACTATTAACCTCAAAAAGACATTTAAAATACTTCTTAAATGATTATGTAGATGAAAACTCTTTAACCAACTGTAGTGAATAAGTGCATGTATGCATTAGTAGTAACATTATTTTAAATCAGAAGAAGTAAATATTTTCTCATAATTTTACATGATGTGGTCTGACTCACATAAGTTTCCAATAAGTAGATGTGTTTATGTAAAGACCTTTAAAAAATTCTTGAAATATTTGAAGATGAATTTGAATTAATGCATGTATACAGGGCTGTGTGAGGCGAACCTCAGTTCCCTCCTATTTGAAATTCTGTCAACTGAATCTTTCCTCAATATTTCTATCTCAGATATGACTGATAGATAAAGTGAAATAAATAGATATCATTTACAGGGGCCACAAAACTCTTCCAGTTCAAAGAGATATCTTTCACAAACTTCCCAACATTGCAGTTCCCCTGACCCTCCCACTCCAAATGCAGATCAGAGAAATAGCAGTCTCTGTTATAGACTGTATTGGAGACAAATGCTAGTGGGTAGTCTTCAGAAGGATGCTGACAAAACTGCTTTCACTTACCTAAGATGAAATAGAAAGTGTGGAGATATCCTATAACCTACAGTCATTAATGCTTGGGAAAAATTCAGTTGTTACTTCCACCTCTCCTAAGAAAACAGACAAATCCTTGAGGAGATAAGTCATAAAGAATTTACTTCTAAGTAAGACAGAAGTGTATTCAGGGAGTGTGTAGCGAGTTGTCTTCAAGGAGGTGAGACAGGTCTGGATGCTGTATCTTAATCTAAGTCTTAGGCAGCTAGAGGAGCATTGGGAGCAGTAGGGAGTCTGAAAGGCAAAAAGGAGTAGATTGAAAAGAAGAAGTGCTGAAAACAAATCTGCTTCACAATTTTGCAAAGGATTCAGCCTTACTGGAGCTATAAAACTGTAGAATGTCTTAGGAAGTACCATCAATAATAGTGATTGTTATGTGATTTGAACCTTTAAAGACACTGAAGTAGTAGGAATATTGCATCATTTTATCAAAAATTTCATCAGGGAGGATTTAGGGTTTGCTTCCTTTCATCTCACTTTCCCTTGATTCCAAGTGTAGATAACTTTTTACTTGCTTCTCACAGATAGTAATATATACAACCTGGGAGGATTTAGGGTTTTCTTCCTTTCACCTCAACTTCCCTTAATTCAAAGTGTAGGTAAGTTTTACTTGCTTCTTACAGATGTAATATATACAATCATTATATAACTGAATCAGACATCTTGTGCAGTAGTGATAGAATGAGTTTACCATAATGGTAGTAATATTTTAAAATATATTTTAAGGAATTATACATGGGATATACTTTTGTTCACAAATAGAATATATATCCAGCAAGAAAATGTTGACTTTCATTCGTTACTTGTATTAGTATTTTCTAGTCATAAATTAATAAGGAGCATTCTAAACTATAAGCTTTAAAAACCTGAAGTTCAAATTAATGGATGCTGTCTAAAGACATTATGGACTATTAAAAATGTATCAGCCATATTGAGTACAATGTACACTACTTGTGTTTGCGGGTGATGGGTGCACTAAAAATCTTATACTTTACTACTATATAATTTATCCATGTAACCAAAAACTACCTGTATCCTAAAGCTATTAAAATAAAATAATCTATTAATTTTTAAAAATTAAATACATTTATTAGCCTGGGATATAGAAAATATATGTTCCAATTTTCTTTCACTAAATAATTTAATTATTGTAAGTAAATTACATACTGTCCCAGGTTCTCTGTTTTTCCTCAAAAAAGAGTAGAATTCCCTCTCCCAAATGTTATAATTCTCCAGTCTTTAAAAAACATGATCCAAAATGCGTAAGTCAATTCAAGGATAAGAATAATTATAAAAGGTTATATTGAAATTAAACTATATTCAATCAAAAGGGAAAAACTCCTGGTTTTAGTGAAGTAATGCAGCAGTCACTTTTAGAGTTAGGTACCGGGACAACAGTAAGTAGGTAAAATGGGCATAATATTCAAGGATTAATTTTAAAAATATGGAGGATAAATTGACTGTCTCTGTTCTCTGTTCTGGCTCAATTCCTGTTCTTGGCCTTAAAATATCAACACTTACCCAGGAAAACAAAATTCACTGGGAGCCATTGGATGAGGGACAAAGATAGAGAACTCATGTCTTTCCAGACTTCAGTCTTTAAGCTTTACACTCTGAAGCATCAGTATACTCAGCACACTGATATAAGAAAAGCCATCGCGATTATTATACACTAATCAGGAATTTGACGTCACTGGACTGTTGTGACCAAGAAATCCAGAGGAGAGTTATGATAGCAGAAATCACCTTAATCAGGGATAATTATGTGAGACGATTTGTTTGCCCAGAAGAATTATAGTGAATCACCTTGAGGATTTCACAAATGGACAAAGTAGCAGGGCTAATGGAAATACTTTGTTCTGTAAGAGATGTAACACTATTTTTTAAGCAAAAAGTAATTCTGTTAGCTAATTCTTTATGTTTCAGAAGAGCTTTAGAAAAGCACTATTGGAAGTGTCAAAAATTGGTGGGGAGTCATCATGTGACTGTGCATATTACATGGCAAATCTTGGCATTTTGACAGCTTCACAAGCGCCATATGTTTGGTTTCTAGGGCAAGGATTCTAGAGTAAAAAAGTGAAATCTGCTTTATTAATACATAGAAATGCTGTATCCTACAGAGTAGATTCTACCAAAGAGACACCAAATAATTGTGCAAAAATTTATACTTCGGAGTTCAAATAAAGAATTTGAACATTAATGGGACTCTGGATTCATAACACAAGACTCAAGACTCTGGTACCATACAGTCTAGATGTGTCATGATAAAAATGCCCCTGTGCACCCCCTTTGCAGACAACCACTTCTCTCCCTTCAAACACCTGGAAACCATTAATCTGCTTTTTATGCCTACAGATTTGCCTTTTCCAATATACGATATAAATGAAATTGTACAATGTGTAGCCTTTTCAACTGTCCCTTTTCATTTAGCAATACACATTTACAGTTCATTCCTGCTGTTGCGTGGATTAATAGCTCATTCTTTTTTATCATGGAATAGTATCCCATTGTATTATCTATCACAGTTTGTGTATTTATATATTGAAGGACTTCTTGATTGCTTTCTCTATGTTTTTGGTGATTATGAGTAAAACTGCTATAAACATTTGTAGGTTTTTATGTTTATGTTTTTTTTTTTTTAGAAATGTATTGAACATTTATTTTGTGTCATATGGTTGACATGTAATACAGCTTTTACTGAGGAGCTAATACATTACTCACTTTGTAAAGCATCTATATACTAACCTTTTGGGGTCTTTCATTTAGGAATGTTGGTCTTCGTCACCCAAGATATGTGAGGACATTTATTCTTGATTTAACTTTGCATTTTATTAGTCATTTTTATTTCTACTTTGAAAAACAGGAATTCTACTAAAAATAAATTATGAAAAATGAGTTAGCATTAGGATAAAAAATGTACCTTAAAATTTAAGTTTGCATTGTTAGTTGCAATGCAAAACATCTTGTCGCCTAGGTAAACATGTACTTAATCAAATGGCAAGTAGAATAAAATGTAAACTCTTGCCTTTGTGACTAAATTCTCTATTCTTGACTCTTCCTCAAGAGTAATTCTTTCATGTGAAGTCAGTTGACCAGTTTCAGTTACCTCATTTTGGAGTGAAGTCTAGCACTCTGAAAAGGGAAAGATAAATTATTCTTTGGGGA